GGCCTTAATTAAATTATGTTCCCAATCACCGGCGAAGAAAATGTCAGGGGGAATCGTACTCTTGAGAAACACGTTAGTGGTGAACGCGGATTGGCTCTGAGGCTCTAAGAACAGGTATAAAGGAGCCTATCCCTCATTGAAGAAGACTGGTCGCGTAGATTTTTGGGGTATTTTGTATCGTACCATCTGTTTGTATTCATAATGAAAAATTAAGCTGGGCAGCGTTGCCTCTCGTCCCAAACTCGGACATATCTTTGATCGGCTAACGACCTGCTCTCTCTCCGCAGCAGACCCGCTCGGGTGGCTGCTACAATTGCTTTCAAAGAGCAAAAATTTTGTTGTGATCAACGTGTCTATGTTTATATTTAATTCATTGTTTGACATCGTTTCTGTGGTGTTAAACAAGCTTTCGACTTTTAGGCACTCGACTTTTGTCATAGCATGGGCATTATGCATCGGGATGTCAAGCCTCATAACGTTATGATCGATCATGAGGCTAGAAAGGTTAGTACTACAGTTTTACTACGATTCTGAATGGCGTATTTTAGCTCAGGCTGATAGACTGGGGTCTCGCTGAATTCTATCACCCTGGCCAAGAGTATAACGTGCGTGTCGCTTCCAGATATTTTAAAGGTCCAGAACTTTTGGTGGATTATCAGGTACGTATTTTCTTCTTTTTCGATCTGGACTGCGGCTCGTTTAAGCACTTTATTTTCAGATGTATGACTACTCGCTGGACATGTGGAGCTTAGGCTGCATGCTGGCCAGCATGATTTTCCGGAAAGAGCCGTTTTTTCATGGTCACGACAATTATGATCAGGTAATTCGTTTGATGTTTTTGTGGAACTTATCCTTTAATTTCCTTAGAGAAAGGGGTAAATACCAACGATACCAACTACGAGATTTTGTAAAAGCAAATACCGCTTGGTCCCCATTCTTAGTAATGTTGTGAGACGCTTTCGGAAGCTTCACTTTTAGTCTCTTTTGAACGTTTAGCCTATATGGAAAATATTCACAAATAGTACAGTTTATTGTTTCACTTCATTGTTTATCCTTTGTGCATTTTAAAATGTTTCCATTGTTATGTTCAATTCGTCGTTTGAGGAAATGATCGCAGTTCTTAGTTTTTTGCTGCGGAGAGCACAAAGTAAAAGATTCACTGTACATAACTTAGCTCATCAAACGCATGGTTTTTCTATGTAGCTGAAATTTCAGCCCATCATGCATCTTGCGAACCTGCGTAAAGGTTATTTGGTCTGCGGAACCTGTAGGCAGCCGCTTGTTTCTTCGTTTGTCCCCAAAGAAAGCGTGTTTGTTGTTTTATAGTCGTTTGCTGAGTACAATATTCGATTAATTCTAATAGGAACTTTGCTAATTGCATGCGTGATAAAGGTAAATTGATACTCTTGCAGTTGTTAACACCTGATTTTTTGCTAAGTTGCTGCCTCTGTTGATGTCTGTTATGCCAAGTAGTGCAACCCCGTTTTAAAGAGTAGTGTCTAATTTTTAATGTAAAAATCTTTGCCATTGAGCCTAAATGTAAAATTTAATCTGTACTGAAATATATATTCGTAAAATATGCATATTACACTGCGTCTATCGCGCCGTCGATGAGGCATATTTGTCATGAAATCTGACTTTAACCGGCAAACAATAAGGGCTGTAAATTGAAGAGAGGCAACATTAGTAAACGATATATCGATATGATATTTCGCTGTGTTTCAGATGTGAAGTATCATTGTTCTTATAACTGCAGTGAAGCAGTGACATCTCTGATCCCATATGTTGCTGTCTCATTTGAGTCTAAAAAATGAAACTAATTGTTTGCTGACTTCGTTGAACGCAAAATTCACTGCACTGTGCACCAAGTTGGCAGTCAAGCAGGGGGACACCGAGTGTTAATTTATGAACACGGTTTTCTTCGATTGTAGCGTTTATTCTCTGACAGTGTGGCATTCACTGGTATACAGAGTATATAAAGGTTAATGTGTGCATTCTCTTTATGACAGATGGCTAGATAAAATATTTTCAGAAGTAAGTCAGTTAATTTTGATGGCTACTTCTCCGTTCGGGTTGGTCAGGTCAACGGAAAACGCTCCGAACTTCCTAACCTGTGCCGGTGTTTAGGCAGAAACACACCCTGAGTCTCGTGCTCAGAATCCGTCTAAACACTTGCCAAGAACATTCTTCGGTGTTTCCGCTCATTAGTAGCTATTTCGAATTCCTTTCCTGAGGCTTACGCAAAGCATAACCATCGTAACTGTAACCTTAACTCTGAAGAACTGGTCAGCTGCATACATCAGGGCTTTCAGAATCTTAGAACCCCAGACTCTCTGACTCATGAGCCCTTCAGTTCGTTTCAAAAAGCCTATTTTTGCCGGTTGTAACGTTTCCATTATTTGTCAGTTGGTTATCGAGATTCCAATTTTTTCGATTTTGGTTCCGGTGATACTGTACTCGATGTAGTTTGGTGCGTGCAGTATGGCACCGTACCGCAGACACCAGTTGATTTCGATGACGGAAGGAAAGCGCTGAGACAGAGATATCTCGATTTGATCCGACAGATCATGCTAGGGAAAGTATTCTGTGTATTTTTTTGAGGTGAGTGATGAACGAAAGGCTACAATGATCTGATCTTCGAGATTTCACACTGAAAGGCTCATATCGATACCATGCCACAGATGACTTGAAGGTGATAGGTCATCTCATTCAATGGTTGGCAGCATAGGCATCCTTTCCCTGATGATGATCGATGCCAATTTGGTTAAAACATTGGAATTCTTGTAAATAAAATGAATTTTCTTGTTTTCTCGTGCTGCCAACCATGGAATCAGAGGACCTGCCACCTTCAGGATGTATTTTTGAGTATTTCGTTTGGAAGTTCAGTGGCTTGTAAGATTTGTGATATTGTTTCTCAGTGAAATCTTTTGATGCTATTTGTTTGTTTTTTTATTATGCGCATATGTGCCTTAATCAGAATAAAAGTAGCTCACTCGGGCAAACTTTTATCTTGCGATCTTAAGGTTACACTCAAGTTAATTCCAAGTCACTCGATGCTTTTCCCTTTGAGCTACTATCCCTACGCGCAGAGCATTGTTTATAGAAGCAAGATTAATCACTTTCCGTATATCTGGAGCTGTTGTGTATCAAATATTTCTGACCGAATTCATCAAAATGGAGATTAGTGCCGCGCTGTAGATTCATGAAAAATAGCGGCCGTGTAAGATATTGTGTCTGTCGAGGATCGATAAAAATGTCATTCTATGCATTACTTGCTTTTTTGTTTTTATTTTCAGTGGATAATCCATCATCAGTTAATAATTAACATTTACATTTCTTTTCTATGAATTTGTTGTCGGTGTACATTATTTCTTAATTTTTTACTGGCATCTGTTTTATAATTTAGCTTGTTCGAATTGCGAAGGTGCTGGGTACAGAGGAATTGTACGACTATCTCGACAAGTACCAGATCGAACTAGATCCGCGATTTAACGATATTCTTGGACGGTATCTGTTTTATTCAATCATTGAATATCTGAGGGATGCTTTTATGAGGGCGCTGCATGCAAAACAATGAAATGCCGATTTAATTCAATTGATTAACAGACTGAGAGCAATCAGAATAAATGAAGTGCAGAAATTAATATTATTACTGAAGTTTACTATGGATGTACTAATTCGATTCAAGTGGCTTAAGTTCATGGTTCAGTGATTTTCACAGATGTCTTCCATTTAGCAATATGCTAGTCGCTATGGGTCTGTCAGCATAGCGCAGTGGCTCGAGATCACAAAAGTCGATTACTGACATCTGAATCAATAAAATGTTCAGTTTATTACGGCAGTTTCAGCTAAGCACAGGTATTGACCAATATTTGATTGACGATACCAGTAGGCAGAGTTATCATGTGAGAGCTACTGAGCAACCGGCGCGTCTGTAAACGGACAGATTGCATTCGGCAGCCTTTTGTTAAATGGGATTACTGATACATTCTGACGATTCATTCTCTCATTCGTTTTCACGAAATCCCTCAGATGCTTCCGTTTCGCACTCGAACGGCTAGTTTCAATTATTGAGATTCCGAGAATTCGACGGTGCTAGGTCTTTGGTGTAAGAATAACATGTTCCTGGTTTTTTCTAGGTAATTTCCTATATAGCTTTCCCAAGGGCGGTTAACTTTAGGGTGCCTCAGCCCGTCGGTTCGGAACCTTGTCAGGGCTCGTTGCACCTGAGATTCTTCGAAAAAATCTCATTTTTTCTGCTTCTATTCAGACGATTTTCACTCCTTTCTCAATTCTTAATATCTACATGCGTCCAAAGCGCTGGTCTTTTGCGACGAGTGTGTTTATTCAATTGCTTGAACACCTGTGGCGATATGAAGATAAACCTGCACCACTGTCGAGATTGGGTTGTGATCAAGCACAATCCTAAGGTACAGAAGTTAGAGTTTCAGTCTCCGCAATGCCAGGTTGTTTCTTGATTGCCACGGCGAATCGGCATGCACGTACTCCGGTGTTTTTGTCACGACCGAACCATGCCTCTCATCTGATAGCTTCATATGATAGACCTGATTGACTTCTTACAGCGGGTGACACTGCGGCTGCGACAAGCGCCGCATGATCACATGTGATTGTGTTTAGTGTATGGCCAATATATCACTGCTGGATGCACCATTCCTCAGTGAGAGCTCTTCGGCTAGAACATAGAACCTTGTCAGGCAGTTGCTTTAAGTCCTAAACGATGTCGTGTTGACCCGCAATTTTCAGCGACTGAAAGTGGTTAATAAACTTCTTTATTTGAATTTACTTCAAACGTGTATCATGTACGGCCCATGTATTATTTGACCATACACAGACTCATACGTTATGCTTCGTTCATGAGATGGACAGTATGGTATTAAGTATTCTTGGGTTCATTGTAGAGGAGTTAGTATGAATATATTGCTCAAATCTTCTATCAGAATTTGTGGTTAGAAGATTCTTGTAGAGACCAGCTGCCTTAAGTACCTAACATACGCTATCCTCTGATTTGCGAGCCTGCTCTTATCCATCATTTCAGTGTTCCTTCTTTCAAAGCATGTATGATATAGATGGATCTCAATTGCTCGGCCTGATATGAGATTTCATACGTTGTTGCTCATCCTCTACGATATGAAAGTTAGAATATAACACCGTATGCCTTTTGTAGAGTCAGGATTAGAATTTCCTATCTTCTATAAGTCTAGCCACTCCGTCATATGTAACGTTTATACCGTTAGTTGTGTAATCGTATGATCGCTATTATGCAATACATACTTTGTATACGCCTCGTTGTGATATCCTGTTGTGTTCAGCCTTATTTCCGAATGTCGTTTGATCATTTGATTACAAATAGACTCTAAGCAGAAACAGTTTCAGACATTCAAGAAAGCGTTGGGAACGATTTGTACATAGCGAAAATCAACATTTGGTCACTCCGGAATCTCTGGACTTTCTGGACAAATTGCTGCGTTATGACCATAATGAACGTTTGACTGCTAAAGAAGCTATGGAGCATCCTTACTTATGTACGAGCTTATTACGTTATAGTGCGACTGTTTGTGTATTCTCTTCATTATTCTTAGATCCAATTTATCAGCAAGAGAAGGCACGTTTGGAAAGAAGCGCTACACAGAATGCTTCTGAACGCAGTTCTCCAGTGAACCTGTCAGGATCTGGTATGTTTTTGTGATGTTCAGATAAGCGATTATGAATATGCTAGAAAGAAAAGATATCTTTCAGATTAACTGGTTGGTTTGCATATTTTAGTCTGTTTTAGACGCTAAATTTTCGGCTTTTTAAGCTTAATTTAAAACTGCAGCAATTATATATATGTAAATGTGGTAGGTGAGGATAAATAATTATTACAGTGTTTAAGAGAATATGTGGTTGATCAACAAATTCTGTGATTTTATGCTGTCCAAAAAAGCTGTGATTCGATGACAATGGTGGTTTCGTGTATTTTTCCACGACGAGAACGTTGTAAATTTACGACGTTTTTAACCCTTAGTCGTAGTTTTATACATGTAAAAGAAGGTGAACGTTTATGCATCAAGTTTTGCCTGAAGAAAGTTTAAACAGATCCAAAATTCTCTGAATGTTAAGAATTGCAAACGGTGATGTTTGTGTAGGGAGGACAGTTGTATAGCAATGGATGAACCGTTTCTAGAACTGCTCAAAATCTGTTGAAAGCTCCCGTTTATATGTAAGGCATGGCGTAAAATCATTTTGGTCCATTTGGTCAAATGGTAAAGCAGACAGGCCGTAGCCTATCGCATTTTTGCACAGTGTGTGATCGTCTTCGAACTCAATCTCCGATGTGGTGCAGTTCGATTCCCGCGATATGCAGTCTTTCTCCTTAAAACGAATTCCCTTGAGCAATGGATTTACCATGTGTTTCAACCGATTGCGTTTACTCGTTTGGTAGAGCCTTGGACTCAGAATCAGAAGGTGCACAAACATCCTTCTTCCATGCGAGGTTGATAAATCAGCACCGCTTTTCTAAATGAATGGGAAGGGATTGATTGAATACAGACTATGCTCGTTATATAGCTGCCATCGATTCAACCTTCAAAACATAAGGCGCTCCTGGTTGATTACATGTTAAAACAGATCAATACCTCCACCATTAATTCAGGGTGCTAGAATTGATCCCATCATGAGAGTGTAAGGAAGATCAGTTTTCCAACACTTGGAAACCTTCCTTTTCCTTTTTTAACTCAGGCCTACTATAAAGAGGTTTTAATGCAGTTTAGGAGAAATTTTCAAAAGTACGCGCCTTATGAGATACGTAAGGCCAGCGACTCGTCTCCGAAAGCCCATTTCAGCCGCATGTACTCGGGATCGAAGTTTTTCAGTCATGTTCAACGACTCATGACCGTACATAAGCGGTAAGCATGGCGATGAAGATCGATCAGAATACTGAGAGTTAGTTTTCAGACTCAGCTCCGCTTTAGTCATAATGAGTTTAGGCCAGTTCACACAGAACGCCACTGGCTACTCCAATTCGCCGGTCGATCTCTTCCTCAAATTTTCCATCAGTGGTAAATGCAATTCCGAGGTACTTAAACTTTTCCACCTACTCCACTGCCTCTCCGTTAATCTGAAGAGAGCAACGGGCAGGAGAACGAGAAACAACTACGCTTTTCGTATTAAATGCGGTCACACGCATGT